CTGCTTGTCTGGGAATTCAAAAGAGTTGTTTTCCCCTTTGCATTATCAGTCGATAGCTCCCATATGCGTTGTGCCTTTTCCACATTGTATAGTTGCTGTCTCCTGGCTTCCAAAATACGAACAGCTCAGGTTTGAAGATGTTTTTACTGGAGATTGTGATGGAAGGTAGTACATAAAATTTAGTCCACCTGGACATTTTTTTTTTAAACCCCTACAGGGCTTAATATCTTATGACCCTAGGCTAGAAGAACAGAACCCTTCTTCTCCCTCACTGACTTCCCCTTTACCCCCAGGCTCTCATTACCGTTAACTTCTTACTGAGAAAATTGCAGACATTTTTGTTTTATCTTCTTCCATCCCCACTGTCCCTAAATGTTTATTGATTTTTTTGAGATGGGGTTTCAGTCTTGCCCAGGCTAAGGTGCAGTCGTGTAATCTTGGCTCACTGCAACCTCTGCCTCCCAGGGTCAAGTGATCCTCCTGCTTCAGCCTCGCAAGTAGCTGGGACTGCAGGCATGTGCCACCACACCGAGCAAATTTTTGTGTTTTTAGTAGAGACGGGGTTTCACCATGTTGCCCAGGCTGGTCTTGAACTCCTGGACTCAAGCAATCCACCTGCTTTGGCCTTCCAGAATGCTGGGATTACAGGCATGAGCCCCCACACCAGGCCTTTTCTTTCTTTCTTTTTTTTTTTTAAATACTCATTAAAGCATGATTTGAAAACAAAGCAAGCTTTTCTCCTGGAGAGGAATTTATTTGACATCTCTTAATTTACTTTATTTTACTCATATTGTGTATTCATTTCCTTCTAATTCTACTTAAGTCTGAATCTCTTTAGTACTCACATTAACAGGAACAAAAACCATGTTGGATCTAGTGGGAGTATTAATTATTGAAGTATAAAAGGGCAAAATTGTCTACTCTTATAATTCTCTGAACCCTACTCTTTAATAATGACCCCTTTGTGCAAATATTTCCAGTTCTTCTCCATGGGAAAGAAGAGAGAGAGCATTTCTTCTGTAGTGAATGCAACACTCTTGTTTTTAATGGGATATTTTCAGTTCTCCTTCGTAGCAGCTCATTTTCTCTGTAATTTTGTCCGGTTTATTTATATCACTTTTGTTCTTCCCATCCTTATGCCTATAACCTATCCTGTATTCCTTGAAATGTACATTTTTCTAGTTCTGGATCCTGCTGAGTTCTTTTAACTTATAGTATACTTAGAAATATATTACATATACTTATATTTGTGATATATTATAAACATACACAAAAGTATAAAAATGAGACATCCATGTAATAATTTAATATGAACAGATGTTAACGATTTACCATGTTTTTCTCTTTAAAAGAAATAAAATGTTGAAGATAGCCCCATTGTAGTCCTGTTCCTTTTTCATTTCCTTCTATCCTTCCCAGAAGTAACCAGTATCCTATTTATGTCTCCTCCGTATGGTTTTATAATCTGACTTCATATGTATGTAGCTACTGCAGTACATAGGATTATTGTGTGGGGTTGGAGTTATTGTCTCTGAGTCTACAACCCTTGTGCAGTATCTGTCTTTTCTTGTCAACCTTGTTTCTCCCCTCCATAGCCCTCCGTAGACAAGGAGACTAGAGGAAGCTAGTGCAGAAGGCACCCTGCCCTTTTCTGCCTCCTTCTTTCTCCCAGAACCTTCTGTCTGTTGTACTGTGTCTGTTTTCATGTGTACCACACCATCTGACTCTACTTCCACTCTCTTTTTCTTCCTTTATTCTTGGTACCCCAGTGTTAAATCACATTTATTTCTATTTTTGGCTTTAGGATTAACACAAGCTCAATTTTTCTCTGCCATTATTTGGGAACAGGTAAAATGATGTTACTGAAAATCCAAGAAAGAAATGTAATCTAATGACTTTCAATTATAGAAACATGCCTGAGGGAAGAAGGGGCAGAGCCAAATGTCTTGGAGGATCTGACACTTTACAGTATCAGATATGAATTACCTGTAATTCTCATGTTTGTTGTTTAAGTGTGGTGCTAAAGGCACTTGCCAATAGGTTAATAGTGATCTTTCACAGAATTAGTTTGCTCAACGAAATTCTATTTATCCTTCTAGAAATTGGTAAGATCTCATTTTATGGCCCATACAAACCAGATATTTTTATATTTCCCTTTAAATTATCCATAGCAAAGTTTAGTGTAACAAAACTTTTCCTTCTTTCATTTAAAGTACAATTTTCTGTCATGTGCAAGACACACTACAGATGGAGAGGGATTGGGGCTGTGATCTTTGGGTATATACCAAATGGCTGTGACTGTGACAAGTATTTGGGGCTCAAAGGAGTTGATAGTCTAAAGTTGGAAACCAGATTACTTACTCAAATATTACTAGGGAGAATATTTATTCAGCTACTACTAGGGCAAACATCTAGGGTGGGAGAGGAAGGTGAGGAGAGAGAGGGCTTATTGCTGAACATGCATCTAGACATATGTACATGCATGTATTTAAGGAACTATGTAAGGGACTGATTTTTGGCATTTGGTGGACATTCAAAATCCTTGAGTGTATGTTTTTGCAGTGTTTTAGAAAAAGAATTTAGAGATGAACTATGTACAGTCCAGCTGTCACAAATTTTAATTCTATTATTAGGTCACAGTTACCTGTCATTGTTTCCAATAGATATCTCTACATCACACATTTCATTATCTTTCCCTGACCTCCCAAATCCAAATAAACATTAAGGAGCTAAGAGTAAGAACGAAATGAAGTTGCCTAAAATCTTTATCAGCTGTGGTCAGATTACACCTTTGGCCTTTCTAAATGCACTTCTGTGTGGATTGTCTTCAGATTCTTCTTGATTCCCTTTCCTAGTCTGTGTTCTGGAATATAATTTAGGTCTTTAACCATCTTCTTTTCACCTGCTAACCCCCATGTTTGTTTTCTCTGCATGGGACCCAGGACTTCTTACCTGGGGCCACCACTGTCTTCCTTATGATTAAAAATTAAAATTAGATCATGCTGACAACACATTAGTGAAATCCCTACTCTCCTCCCATGAGAGGTGTCAGCAGGTGGAGTAGGAGGAGAGTGCTTTATAAATGGAAGTGGAGCTTTTGTAGCATCTATTCAGTCTGACATGTTTCCAGTTTACCATTAAGTCTCTCCTCAGCATACTTTCCTCCTCTGTCATTTATCATATACACATACAAATGACGATTTTCTATTGTACCAGTACATAAGTATTAAAATTTTAACTTCTTTTTCCAGTTTTAGAAAAGAGCCCAGAACACTGGGACCTATGTTTGCGTATGGTAAGGAATGCCAGCTGTTTTGTTTTTTAATTACACTTCAACTTTTTTTTTTAACATCTTAACTTTTATTTAGGAAAACAGGCTAGTTGTTATTGCACCTAGAAAACCATGAGGGGCCTAATGAGTACGCTGATGACATACCTGTTGAAATAATTTTAGATTAATAATTGTAGCTGGAAGTGAGTTTAAAAGTTTCTAAAATGAATCTTTATATTTTATATTTTAGTAAATAAAAATTTTGAGATATGATTTTGAGATACATTTAGTAAATGTAAAAATTTTGAGAGTGGCACTTAAAATGTTCTCAAATGACAAAAAATGACACCATGTATTTCATGTTGTAGAAGTGGTCAAGGTTATGAGATCAAACCCAGAGGTTTTTGATTTTTTGTTTTTCCTGAAGCCACTAGTGTTTTGGTATTGACTATCTATGACAGCAAGATAAGTGTGATATTCGATAAATGAATCTATTTTCCAGGCTGAGGAGAAATAACATGTAAATGCTTGAGAGTCAATAGAGTGTAATGAAAAGCAAAAGCAAAAAAAAAAAAAAAATTCTTGAGAGTCAGGAGATAGAAAGTTTTATCCAAGATTTTCCACAGAGTTCAGTTTAATAATGAACTGTTTTTTTTTTTTTTTTATAGTATACCTTATTTGGTTATAATCTGTTCATCTGTTATAGCTAGGGTTTGTTACTTTTCTACTTAGTTCCTTTCTGATGAGGTATAGTACTTAAGTGTCTAATATGTGCCTACTACTATGTTGGCAGGGCTTGTACATAATCATCAGCCTAGTCATTCAGCACCCTTAGAACAGGGGCTGGAACTGTGGCTCCAGCTTGCCGCACTGAGGCCATGGTTCCCAAGTGCCAGTGTGCAGGTTGTTGTCCCTCCATCATTAATCTTTTCCCAGTCTGTGGGAAGGAATAGTAAATAGGCCATGTTGTAAAATTTTCAGAAAGTTAAAAGATGTCATATTCCATTATTATTTTGTTCCTTTTTTAAATAGTTAAATGCTATTTGGTTCATAAAACAATAGTGATAGTAGAAAGCCTTTTTACATGTCCCACCTTGCCAGAGTAAAACAATTGCATGTCTTTGTTGGTTCTCTCCTTCCCCATTTTTAAACTTGTTTGTAGATCTAAGAGCTTTACAACAGCTGGCTTAAGAAATACTGTTTCTCACGAAATTGTCATGTGTGCATGCCCATTTTAAGAGTAAAGTTTAAATAGGAGTGCAAGGAAGAGGGTTTTTTAAGACATTTAATATATATTTAGCAGTTGTTTAGGGTATAAATTTGATCTATTGATAATGCAATTTTAAATGCTGCAGCTTCATTCTGACTGAGTTTCATCTTCATTTTTTTTTTTTTCTAACTTTTTTAAAGAGATGGCATCTCACTATGTTGCCCAGTCAGGCCTTGAGCCTCTAGACTCAAGCTATCCTCCCACCTCAGCCTCCAGAATAGCTGGGACTAAGGTGTGCACCACAGTACCAGCTTGCCTTTCATTGGGTTTTAACCTGTAAATATTTAATATAGCTTTTGGCAAGAAATATTCCTTAAGAAATTGTTTTTATTCCTTGGAAAGTTTTTTTTTTTTTTTTCCCCGCCTTTCAATAACTAAAGCCATTGTTTAAGAATCACCTTGATTCATTTTTATTGGTCCTCTTCAGTGCTATAATGCTTTGCTTTACTTTTTCCTTAGTGATACAAATGAAGTTGACATACCACCTAACACTCGAGTTGGCACCAAACGCTATATGCCTCCAGAAGTGTTGGACGAGAGCTTGAACAGAAATCACTTCCAGTCTTACATCATGGCTGACATGTATAGTTTTGGCCTCATCCTTTGGGAGGTTGCTAGGAGATGTGTATCAGGAGGTAAGAAGCAGTGCTGTCTTTGAAAAGCTACTATCGGAGCTGCTACAAATTCTTTCTTTCTGATCAGAAATCCAAGTTATCATACTGTCTGTAAGATCTGGTTTTATTTTCCCCTTTATTTCTGTTGATGCAGTCATAATGCTTCCAGGAAATTATATTCGACATCCTAGAATAATCTTTGACTGCTTCCTTTCTTCACCTGCCACTAGACACACTGTCAGCTTCCCCTGCCTTTTCAAGCATCACTGTTTTCTGCTCTGTGTATTGTCTCATTTCTCTCTTGGGTTCTTCCTCCAGCGGTGGCTCCATCAAATCAAACCCCTTTTTCTGTCCCTGCCAGTTTATTCTCACCTAGCTGCTGGGCCGCATCCCCAACTCCATTCCCTGGGATTTCCTCTGCAGAGATGACAGTAGAACATAAATGTGGGGAGGGACACCCATTTCTTACCTTCTGTATTTATTTTTTATAAAACTTCCTCATAAAGCAATTTGAAAACATCAATTTTTTATCAAAAGGAAATTAAAGTATCAGAGGATTGTTATTTTTTATGATATTGTTTTTTCTACAAACATGAGGATTCCCTAGTAAAACCACTTATAATAAACAAGAAGACATATTTAAATATTCAGAAGTATTATTGCTTGTACTATTTTGATTGCTGCACAATCTGTCTTCGAGCAAATTCTGACACCTTTTAGGCAAGGAGCTTAATCTTCGGCTTTTCTGTATCAAGTACTGTATGTTATTCCATGGTTGTGCTCATTAAAAAGGCTTGATGCTGCTGATGTTCCTCATGATGGCCAATTTAAATCTATCTTCATGAAAACATGAGCTTGCTGAAGATTCTGAAAGTGCAGCATGCACTTAAGTAGTACTGAGATTTGTTCTTGTTCCTGCTATTTACCTGTGATGCCTTGGACAGTATAACCTTTTCTTTGTTTCAGAGTTCTCCTCTTAAGGATGGAGTGAATTATTGTATCTGCTTCTTTGGTTGTATGGTTTCAATGAATGTAAAGATAATGAGAACTGCCTGGCACGTAATTAGCACTCAATACATGTTAGCTATTATTACTCTTAAAAATTTTCATTTTGGTTGGTAGAGCCATACCATCTTTAGGTTCATATTTAAATACAAAGAAGAAACAGTTAATTAACCTGCATTCACACTTTGATAGAAAGATCATCTTCAGTGGCACAATGCCTTCTAATAATCACTTTGGGAATTCTGAACCTGTTGTAAGAAATTTGAAATAGAACACATTCTCTCTGAAGTGAGAGAACTGTTTTGTCCAAAAGGAAAGTTAATGCAGGAAATTTTCTCTAACCAGATATTGAATAAATTTCTCATTCTAAATATAAAGAAGAAGTAACCAAGAAATTAACAGATTGTCTATGCCTTGATTTCATGCATTATAAAGAGTAGATAAACCTCACGTTTGCAATCCCAGCATTTTGGGAGGCCGAGTGGGGAGGATCGCTGGAAGCCAGGAGTTAAGGACTAGCCTGGGCAATAGGTTGGGACCCAATCTGTATTAAAAAAGAAAAAAAAAAAAATCAAGTAAACGAGCCTTTTAAAAAATAACATGCTTATACTTAATTAAGATAGCTTTGTGGAAGTTAAAGGTGTAGAGAACAAAATTATTTTTCTAATTATGTTTTCTTGAACATCTAAAACAAACAGGGCTACAAGAAGCCTATATTTGAAAGCCTGTGGGCCAAATACAGGAGAAACTATTCTCAGCTTAAAAACAAGGTAGCTTTATATAAACAGACTGTTCAGAGCAGCAGCCTCTAATGTAATTATTATGAGGAGTTAATCTGAGAAGGTGAAAAAGAAGGCACTAGAAGTCTGCATTTTTAAAGGAGAAGAGGAAAAAGGTAGAAATGAAATACTAAGAACGATAAAATGAAAGAGTTTAGTGTACATTTTTATGAAGATGCTATAGATTTGTATTTCTTAACTCTTAACAATACATACTTTTTCTAATAGTAATATATTCCTTATTGAAAATTTGGATAAATATAGAAAAAAATCAGATAATCCTTGGACCTAAAAAATTCATAGTTAATATTTTTGGGTGTCTATAATTTTCTAAATTTTAATGGTCAAAACCACATTCCTCCAATTAAGCAGAAGAAAATGTAAATCTGACACTTCGTTCAAGTAGGATACACTTACAAATTATGTTCATAGTTTCATACTATAGTAATAGAAATAGTCACATATTACATAATATGAGTTCAGGATATGTCTTGCAAATTTGCACTGAGATTTAATGTAGATGTGTCTTTTAATTTGTTCTTTATAAAATTGGAAATAAATTTAAGATGCTTGTTTTACTTAGCTTTTGGAAATTAGGAAAGAAAGTCTTGAAGACCTATGATAATATTTTTCATTGGGCTTTGTATTCATTTTTTCTAAATTAGATTAAGCACCATGTATTTTTCAAGGTTTATTTGGCTATTTTTCTGCCTGAACTTGTCTGTAACACTGATAGCACTTTTCCCTTGAGAGCTGTGTTAGACTTTTATTTCTACTTCACAGAAAATAATAACAATAACAACACATTTTAGGTATAGTGGAAGAATACCAGCTTCCTTATCATGACCTAGTGCCCAGTGACCCCTCCTACGAGGACATGAGAGAGACTGTGTGCATCAAGAAGTCACGCCCCTCATTCCCAAACCGATGGAGCAGTGATGAGGTAAGGCTCCACTGAGGTAACCGTGTGGCTGCGACTGACTTCTAAATAGACTTCTGTTTTAGCCAAAATTCCACGTATTCATTGTAGGAATTCTTCTTTGTTTGAATGGTGATGGTGATGGCACCTTTTTGCAGTGATTTATATGAAGATAAGTGTAGTTTATTAAATTTCTTGTTCTACTTTTCCAATTTTATTTTGCCAGTTCCAGAGTATATTGAGCGGGCTGGTCAGTGTTTAGCCTGCGTAACAAATAACACTATTTTCCTTATTTATAATGTCTTGACATTTGCATAAAACCTATTATTTCTCTGTGTGTGTTTTTAAAGCATCATGATTTTTCTCCGTAACAAACCCATGTACAGCGTTCTCCCATTTTGATTAGAGAAAAAAGTAAGCATGTTAAAGTGATACAAGTTGACCTAGTTAAGATGCCTGACTGTGCTGGGTGTCTTTGTTAATAAGGATGATGAGATGTGATTTGAACAAATCCACCTTCAGCTTGGCTCTAAGGATGTAGTGGTGAAACCTACATAGGTCTGGAAAGGAGCTGCTAGGAAGGAGGAAATGAGTCTTGCTTTTCCTGACTCCTCCTCCTGTTCCACATTCCTCTCCTTCCGCCCTCCCAGCCTTCAAACTCACTGTGTTCTAGAGTTCTCTGGCGGACTGGAATATTCAAGATGAGTTTGAAGCACCGCTGGAAAAAAAAAAACAACCAGGCTCTTATCAAACATCTACCAAAGCACTGCAAAGGAGGGACAGATCACTATTTCTTAAGTGTAAAAGCCATTTAAAAGTAATCTCTGGGCCGGGCATGGTGACTCACATCTGTAATCCCAGCACTTTGGCAGGCCGAGGCGGGTGGATCACTTGAGTCCAGAAGTTCAAGACCAGCCTGGCCAATATAGCGAAAACCCATCTCTGTTAAAAAATGCAAACAATAGCCTAGTGTTGTAGTTCATGCCTGTATTCCCACCTACTCGGGAGATTGATGCATAAGAATTGCTTGAACCCAGAAGGCGGAGGTTGCAGTGAGCCGGGATCATGCCACTGCACTCGACAGACCAAGTCCCTGTCTCAAAACAAACAAACAACAACAACAACAACAACAACAAAAACACCTTTGGCTCATTGGTTTTGTGTCTGGTTACTAAAATGCTATATAATAATATATGTTTTCCAGCAAGCTGTGCAGAAAGCTCTATGAGATGCTGGAGCTCTGTTATTGTTGGCTTTTGGTGTTACTTGAAATCTCTTCACTGAGGATTTCTTATGAAGTGAAATTGTACTTTTCAATAGGAAGACCAATAATTGATGTACCACAGGAGAAAGTTTTAGTGATGCTGTGCACAGGTCATTAATCTTGTTAAATGGTGTAGTGTGATGCTATTACTGCAGCAGACAGCTATGATTTAGGAATAACTGTGTTTGCATAGTATGGAATTAGATAAAAGATTTAAACTTATCAAGTGTTGTAAACAATCTGGGAGTACTGAGTGGAATACAAACTCCCTGGGTATGTTTATGTTTGCTTAACACTAACTTCAAAGTCACCCTTCTACAGTCAGCAGAACCACCTGCTTGCTTCTGTCACAAAGAAGACATGAACATCTGTTTTAGTCATATATAATTTTGCATGAAAAAAACCTACAGAATTTTATTCCTACATGGTTTTAAGGGTACCTTTTAAAAATATATTCAAACTTAATGAACCTAAAAAGCTACATTGTATCAGGTGTCAGCATTGCGGATGATACATTTTTCTAACATTTCTCTTCCACAGTGTCTAAGGCAGATGGGGAAACTCATGACAGAATGCTGGGCTCACAATCCTGCATCAAGGCTGACAGCCCTGCGTGTTAAGAAAACACTTGCCAAAATGTCAGAGTCCCAGGACATTAAACTCTGATACGACAGGAAAAGTAAGCATCTCTGCAGAAAGCCAACAGGTACTCTTCTGTTTGTGGGCAGAGCAAAAGATGACAAATAAGCATCCACAGTACAAGCCTTGAACATCGTCCTGCTTCCCAGTGGATTCAGACCTTACCTCTCAGGGAGCAACCTGGACAAAGACAGAGAAGCTCCCAGAAGCAGAGATTGATCTGTGTCTGTTTGTAGGAGGGAGAAACCGCTTGGGTAACTTGTTCAAGATATGATGCATGTTGCTTTCTGAGAAAGCCCTGTATTTTGGGATTGCCTTTTTTTTTTTTTTTTTTTAAGATGCTTTCATTTTGCCAAAATAAAACAGATAATGTGGATGGTTTAAGGGTTATAGAATTATAGTTTAAATAATAACAACAAAAGTTCTTCCCAGGAGCTCTGCTGGAAGGTAAATTAAGATACATGTCTTTCCATTGGTAAAATATTGTTGCACTCTGTGAACCAAAAGACAGTCTAAGTTGGAGGACATAGAACAGAATTCATCTTAAACATACTCCCCACCCCACCTTAGCCTCCTCAGACCACTTTGGCCATCCCTGCATTTGGGGCCGCTACGGTAATGTGAATGCACTGGGTACAGACACCACCTGTCTAGGACCACATTTGGAATTCCTGCAGGTGGCCTTTTGCAGCTTCAGGCAATATGGAACAAATGAAGGTTTATGTGACTCTAATAGAAGTAATTGTTGATAGGTGTTCTTCAGAACCACTTCTGTTTCTGATTGTGTTAGGCATCTCTGTCATGGTAAAGTCCTTCTCATTAAATACAAAGAAAGCTTTTGTTTTGTTTTGTTTTTTAATGTGCAGAGGATTGACCTGTACATGCTTTTGATCTCTCAATCAAAGGATCAATATTAAATAAAATTGTCATGAGCTGTGTTGAAGACGGGGTGCTTTAAAATAGAGGTAATTTGCTCTTGTGTTGTAAGAGGAATATGTCAACAAAGATAGGGAACGAGGGAGAGTGATGGTGCAGATGGCTTGTATCTTATATATGCAAAGGAGCCAATCTCAGAAGCACAAAGAAAAAAGTGTGCATACCTTATTTTGTAGAGATAAAGATGATGTCTTTTTGTTGTCTGTCAATTTTGTATGTGTCTGAGATAAGGAATAGAGAGGAAACATCCATCAGGCTAATTTAACTACATTTTATTTTAAAAATAGGGAAACATAACCTCTAGATGGGACAGCAGAGGAGAGTTAGTGGAGGCCACACAATATTATGGGCTGCTGTGTTTTATTGTTCTAAAATCAATATGGATGGAACATGTATATCTTAAGTGATCATTTCACATCTTAGGAATGCCTACTCATTTTATTTTGTTCTAGTGATGTTCAATTCACTATTTAATTTATTATATTTTCTCTTCTGTGGCACTTATACAAAATATCTCTTCACCTACTTAGTTCTACAGGGTTTTAACTTTGGAAAAACATGAATAAAATCATCGAGAAGGCAAATATTCTTTAGCAACATGAATATAATAAAGTTTAAAGTTGTACACTTTAATCACATACATTTCCTTTCTGTGGTTTTCTTTTGCTTCTTAGAAATTCTGTAGTGGTTAGTGGTAGTAAAGAATTTGAAAGTACTTTCTCCTTGTCTTTTTTTTTTTTTTTTTTTTTTTAAGACATTCCTCCCAGAATACTCCAGGGGGCAGTGTTTTATAACACATTTTCCCCACTGGTGATTGAAGGATGGAGGATTTTTGAAAATTTGACAGCTAAGTGAAACATGAGAAAACATTTTCCTCACTTCTGAAGTCGGTTTGCAGCTGGTAACTTGTTCATCCAGAAAACATTCTAAAGCAATGATAGTTTGTGAGCTGTGCTTAGAGTTTGAGAGAATCATGAGGATTCTTTCTATATTTTACATTTACTTCCCAGTGCTTCATAGCCACGTTTTGTTTGTAACTAAGACAGAAGAATTTCGTAATCCTTGAATTTGGGAAAAAAAAAAAAAAAAAAAAAAATTGCGTTTTCACAGAGTGAAAACAGTTGGTTCCAAGTAGAACTGTAATCAGAATGCTGCTTTTATTGATATTAAAAATAACCTCAATAATAATGTAAAGGTTCCTTTCTCTTGTGTCAGTTATATTCTTAGGGATAGCCTAGAAGGAATATATGGTTAGAACTAAGTGTGACTAATAATCTGAGCCTTGGAGAGAAACTTCAGTGCCTCTAAACAGATCATCTACAAAACAACAGGTAAACATTTATGCCAGTTAAGTGGGACATGTTTTTGTTTCTTGGATTTTTCCTAAATTTAAGTGAGGTTGGGCTTACCTTGTAGATAAAATTATGTTTTCTTTTTGGTAGATACTTGAACGTGGATAACTTCAAATCAGAATATTTTGTGAGGAGGTGATGATTTGAAATTAAGCTAGATTTCTAGGGAGGTGTTGGTTCCAATGAAGGATGGGAGGAAATTAAAATAGTCTTCAAACTTCTTCCTTACTCTATTTGGTTGCCTTGGAAAAGATTGGTAGCTTATTTTCTAATCCTCAATCTCATTTATTCACTATTAATATTTTAAAAGCATTCCAGAGATACTTAAAAAGACCCACTTAGCAATTATGGTCGCTCAATGAAACAAGAATTTATTTATGCATAGATTTTTCTCTGTGTCTTACCAAAATCTACCTTACTTAGATAACACTAAATTGTTCTTGAAGACTATCTACTCATTTCGCAATAATCCATTATGATTTCAAAATTTCTAGCGGCTCAGAAGTGAATTTTATTTTATTTGTCTTTCACTTGAATAAATGAGAACCCAGAAATTAATAATGTCATTTGTTGCTTACTGTCAGGATATTTCAAAGACTAAGAGTTTCTGACCCCTCCCTCTCAAAGGAATCCTAAATTATTAGTTGTTAGATAAGTTTTGTATGCTAAGATATTCAGGTTTATAGTTTATGTATGTGTATATATATATAAAAATATATATGTATATATAAATATTATGTTCAGTTTGGAGTCTGGCACAACTCCATTATGTGGATTAGAGAGTAAGATATTATGGACGATAAAGTACTAAATGAAACATAATATTTATTTATAAAAGTATGTAGATTGTTAAATCACAAAAAGAGTGCTATGAACATTATGTATGAGGAAAAAGGCCTTTGACCTCCTGGAAAGCACTGCTCGAAAGTCATTAGTGACCATTTTTGAATTCCCCAAACAGAAAGCTTCTTACAAAACATGCTGAGATTTTATTTACAGGGAATTCTTTGACACATTTCAATTGGTGTGTAGTCAGGTATAGCAAGTACCTAATAATGACTGGATTTCGTGTTCCTAGAGTCATGCATATACATTAGAAGTTTTGTGTCGTTGGTCTGATCTGATTCTTCTTTGTTTGTGGGTGGAACGGCACTGAGAGAAATACAGTTTTTTAAACTTGAACATGTTTAGTAGTTACATTGCCTTAGAAAACCCAGACACATAGCAGTGGAAATGAAAGAAATGACATCAGAAGTGACTTAATTTAGCAATTATGATTCCTCTTGTAAAACAAAACAGAAAAAATGCCATATTTTTTAGAGAAAAGTTGGCAATATAGGGGTTTCATTGTCCGTTTCACAAGAAGACTCATTTGTTCTTTTGGGGGAACCAGTGCCTTACAGATTTTGTATATACTGTAATTATTCAGGACTAGGGAACAAACAATTGTATTGTATTTGTTACAGATTGTATATGGCTTTGTTTTAACATTCCCCTAAATAAAATGGCTTCATTCTCCCGTTGGAAAAAAACATGACTGTTATGTTATAGTCGTGCTTGCTTGCTTATTTATTTATTTATTTATTTATTTATTTATTTATTGTCTTTGAAAATATCACATTGTAACAGGTGGGAAGGCACAATGAAGGAGGCAGATGCAGGTAAGTTTTTCACATTTCACGACAGGAGGACAAGAGAAACGGTCTGATGGCTTCTTTCTTTGTGAAGGAAACAGTCATCTGCTGAGAGTGAGAGGAAAGGCAGGGAAGTCAGTGGTTTGAGAGAAGGGAAGAAGGTTTAAAATTGCACTGGAAAATTACAGCTTGCTGGGGAAAGAGCCAGATGGTTATGGGCAACTCTGAGGGCCAGGTTAGGCTTCAAGAAGCTGACTGTGGCACAGCGGCCAAGCGTAGACTTGGGACTGCCAGGCAGCCTATTGGTGTGAATCCAGCTTCCCTCACTCGCTCAGTTGTGTGACTGGGCACGTTTTGACCTCTCAAAGACTCAGTTTCTTCCCCTTGAAGATGAGAATGATGTTAATATCCAATATCTGGAGTTGTTCTGAAGATGAAATGACATAATCCATGCACCAAACATGTGGTGAGTGCTCAGCTATAGTATTCACAGAAATTCATAGTGCCACTTTTCTTGTGATTTATGATTTTATCTGTCAGCAACCCAAATACAGGTATAGAGACAGCAGTGGTAGGATTCATTCAGGGTACTGGTTTATCATGCAAATGCAGCAACAGGTCATGGAAAGTAAGAATTATTACTATCAAGGGGCTGGCTGGTGGGCCAGTGGGGGTAAGGAATTAATTAGAGGAGCTAACAGTGCCCCCACTCCACCGCAAAAAAACAAAACAAAACAAAAACAAAAAACCCAGGTCCCAGGACAGGGAATCCTGATGGGGTGGAGGTGGTATCTCCGCGGTTACTGAACTGAAGGAGGGGCTGTGGTCAGATTTTGAAGGGAGAACAGCTGAGGGTGTGATCGCAGGAGTGGGTGAATCCAGTTCGTGGGCAACGTTGGTGATGAAAGAGGAACCCAAAACCTGGCCTTTAGATTTGTTGTCTTCGTGGATTTTGAAGGTGGCAGTCTTGGGAGAGGAAGGTTGTGAGGCAAAATTCTCCAGTGCCACAGAATGGGGAGGGGCACAGTCTGTGAGAGGCAGAGAGAGGGGCTGGCCAGCTGAGCCAGGAGGCCTGACTTGCCAAGCATTGGGTTTTAATGCAATGATCTGGAATCAGCGCTGTATGAGAAAGACCTCACCCGCCTCCCAGCTGTGGAGTGTTTGAAGTGTGGAAGGATGAGGCTATTGCTGCTGCCCCTGAATTGTCACCTCTGCAAAAGGGGAGGGAACATGTTAGGGCTGTTGTTGCAAGCATTGTGGACCTGGAGGGCAGAGTGAGAAGTTTGGTTTTGAGGGGATCCACTGGAGATTGGATCAGGACCAGGGAAGCCCAAAATCATCCGGGGAGTGGGGAGTGCAGGAAGGTTGGCATCTGACACAGAGGGAATGAAGAGTTTGGGTGAGATTGGCAGTGGTTAGCCACCTGCACTTATGTCTAAAGAGTGCATGCTGGCACTGGGATTCAGACTGATCTGCTTAAATTCCACCATTTTCCACTTTTTCATTCTTTGGAAGTACATAATCTGAGCCCAGTCTTCCCACCTGTAAATTCCCACCTCTTCAGGCTCTTGTGAGGAATCTATAAGATGAGTATCTGAAGTGTGTGAGGGTCCATGCCAGGTACATCATAGCTGCTCACAAATACTGCTCTTTCTCCTTTCCTTCTTTCTTCTTTTCTTTTCTTCCTTTCTCCCTTTTTCCTTTCCTTTCCTTTTCTTTCCTTCCCCTCCCCTCTCTTTTCTTTCTCTCTTTTTACCCTTCCCCTTCCTTTCCCCTCCCTTGGCTCCTCTCCCTTCCCCTCCCTCGGCTCCTCTCCCTTCCCCTCCCTCCCCTCTCTCCCCTTTTCTCTTTCTTTCTTCTTTTTCATTCTTTCCTTCTTTTTTTTTTTTTTGACAAAGCCTCACTCTGTCTTGCCCAGGCTGGAGTGCAGTGGCATGATTATAGCTCACTGCAGTCTCGATCTCCTGGGCTCATGTGACTTTCCCATCTCAGCCTCCCAAGTAGCTGGGATTACAGGCATGCATCACCATGGCTGACTAATTTTATGTTTAGTAGAGATGAGACCTCGCTCTGTTTCCTAGGCTGGTCCCAAACTCCAGGACTCAAGTGATCTCCCCATCTTAGCCTTCCAAAGTCCTGGGATTACAGGCGTGAGCCACTGTGCCCAACCAGTGTTGCTTTTTCTTCCTGCCATTAGTTTAGCAGGATCTACAATTAGCAACAATTAAAACCAGCTGAGATTTGCTATTGGTACATCTCTCCCACCTTCTGTGTACCCCACTTCTGTGTGTCATGGGCTCAAGTTAAATTTTTCACAGAACTCACAGGCATACTGACAGTAAATCTCAGCTGAGGAAAAAAGGTTATTTTCTTGGCATTGGTCATTTTGTAAGTTGCAAGCTTGTTGTCTCTATCTGGTCACAGCAGCAAGGTACAGATGACCACGCTCTCAGAAGTTTTGTCTCTGCAAAGTGATTCCTAATTTCTACCTTAGGTTCTGACCTGAGCTTAGCTGTGGGACTCTCTGGGACTGCTGAAGGTTCTTTGCTTGGCATCTGTATGCTGGTACTGAGAGATGGGAACAGAGGGAGGCCAAGCTTCAGAACTCTCCAGGGACCTCCACTCAAAGACAGGGGCTTAGGTTGGGCCCTCAGTGAATAATCTTTGAAAATGCATGCATGCCATCCTAGGTAAGGCCTTCTCAGCAGGAATCTCAGCTACCAAAGCTTCTAATTAGGGATTAGCGGTCTGGTAACAGGGCTGAGCCACCATGGGTTTTCTATGTAAAGGAAAGTTTTTGTTAGTGTTTTATTGTTTTCATTGTATTTTCATTCTTTTATATGGAATTTGAATTCTCTAGCTCAGCTGCAGCCCTTATTTCTCCCTTTGATTTTTACCCAGGTTCCAGTTTATGTATTTCCATTACTTCCTTAGCCTTGAAGAAACATTTGAATTCGTGATCCCAGCATCGATTGTTTTATGTCATTTTCTTCTAGTCCATGGCATGGACCAGTTTCTCAGTGCTGGGCAATGGCTTACACCCTTCTGCCACTGAGGCTGAGGGGAGGGGTGGGGGCAGGTGGCAGTCCATCTAAGGAAGCGTCTCCAGGTCATTCTCTCATAGAGGACAGGGCTGCCTTTGCTTCTAGTCCTCAACCTCACAGCTGCTTCCCACCTCACAGCTGCTTCCCACCTCATAGCTGGAGCCCTAAGGCAGTGGCCAGCAGTCCTGTACCAAGCTGAACTCCTCTGCTGGTAGTTGCTCACCTTTCATTTCCTACCTATTAGTATAGTTGTTTGCAAACTTCATTTAAAATCGGATCTCTAGAGGCAGGGCTTGACACTCTATTTAGAAGCTCCCGCCCCAGAGAATTCTGCAGAAGTTCTAAACATTGGTTCTCACCCTTAACTGCTCATTAGTACCACCCGGGAGTTTTTAACGCCCAAGACTCAGGCTACCCCTAGACCACTTCCATCAGAATCTCTGGAGGTGTGACCCTGGCATTAGTTCTTAAGGCCCCTCGGGTGATTCCAGTGTGCAGCTGATTTTTTAGTAGCAACATTCTAGAACCTTATCCTGTGCGTGCAGGAGGTTGTGATCACCATCCACGCAGGACCCAAAGCCTTTCTGTCCCACTGAAGAAACAAGTGGCGACTCTGAACACACAGGAGAACCTTATTATGAAGTGAAGGAGGCAGCACTTTGTTGCTTATAAATATAATTTATTACCTGTTTAAAAATTCTTTCTTACATTTTGTACATGTTGGCTGACAGAATAAATGCAGGCAATTTACAAACAAAGGGGACTGCAGGAAAAATCGGGATTGGCAGCCAGGGAGAGAAAAGAGGCACACCCGGAGCTGGTATCCCTCACCTCCACCACTCAGCAAGGTGCCGGACAGATGTCCGGAGGGCACTCTGCCTCCGCCGGGGATTTTTTAGAAAAGGAATTGCATAGAAGATACAGCAAGAGGGAACTCCACAACAACAAAAGTGTTCCGTATCAGAAAAGCCAAGGTTGTCATGTTTTGTTTAAAAAAGAAAAACGATAAAGCACAAAACCTCAATCCGACCTTTCTGCAGTTGAACTGTTCCAAAGGGGACAACAGGTGGATGACACTGCCTCTTCAACATGACTGCTGGGGAATTTTCTCTGACAAACATTGGTATCTTCTTTACAAAACGCAAAGAGGAAGGTCACCAACTTGCTTCAGCTCAACATTAAACTCAACACATATAACACCGTGACATCACACACACACAATGATGTTCCCTGAAACTGGGCTCAATGCATTATGTCTGGAGGGCGAGGGCTGCACTACCACTAGCAGGTCTAGGAAAGCATGAAGAAGAGAATGCAAATCACTTGTTCCCACGTGTTCTGACTGCTGTACTTTTTTTTGTCCATGGCCTGGAGGAGTAGACATCTGAGTTTTTACCCCTACATGTACAGATGCCATTCATTACTTTCAGAATAGAAAAGAAGGCAAAGGTATTTTACACCAGCTATAGATTTCTTGCTCTTATATGTCACTCTAAACAGGTTTCACATTGAGAACCTATATAGCTCAGGTCCCGATTCTCTGATGCTGCCTCCATGTGCTCAGGATCAGAGGCCAAAAGAGAGCCCATCCATCCTTAGGCTGTTGATCAGCAAAACCTGCCTACAGTTCATCTTCTAAACACCGGTACTGAGAGTTATTCCACCCCGGGTCAGTGCCGTCAGCTTCTACAGCTGGTCTCATAGTACTTAGTCCAGTAGGCCTTTGGAACTTAAAAATGACACACGACTTAGGCATATTTGTAAGAAACCCTTAAATTATATGATTTGCAATTTATATTTTTGTTGAAGGACAGATCTGAAATGGTATGTTAAAAGGCTGGTATTGAGTAGCAA